CTTCTGGTTCATCTTAGTCCGTTTTCTCAAGCGCCCCAGAGGCGACGTGAACACAAGCAGCCAATGCAAGCCACCTGGTGGTGCCCGGGAGCAGCACAAGCGCCTGTGAGCCCAGACCTCTCTGCCCGAGGCAAGCTCAGCACCCGTGAGGAGGGTCACCTACGGATGGGGGACTGAGGGTCCTGGCTCAACGCCACAGGGCTTGGGAGACACCATTAGGCCTGCTCTCCCTGGCGTCACGAGGCTGGGGGCCAAACCAGCCTCGTTCTGCAGTCCCCGTCACCAGGCTCTGGCTGCTGTCCATCATGAACTCAACACTCCAGGGTACTGGCTCATCCTGCCCTCAAAACCCCAAATGCTACATTTCCTCCCACAGATGTGCGGCCAGAGCCAGCAAGTGCCTGGCTGAAAGTCAGTGAGAAGGGCCTCAGGAAGCGGGGCCTCTGTCCTGCGCTCCACCCTGACCTCTGACAGTCAGGCTCCACTGACAGTAGGCCATCATGCTCAGTAATCCCACATGCAGCCAGGACTCTGACCTCTGTAAGCCAGCGCCCACCCCACGGCTCCCCCAGGCAGACTTCACAGGTAGGGAAAGGATTTCCTCCAGGGTCTATTCCCCAGGAAGTGACCTGTGCCACTGTCCATCCTACACAGCCAGTGCAGCTTGCCTCACGTGGCCACCTGCACGAAGGCACAGGAACATCTGTAAATGACCCTCGCTAGCCAGCCCCAGGGGCTGAGCCTTCACAGGTGCCCAATGAGACACTTCTCCCGAAAGGCCCCACCAGGAGGCCAGGACAGACCAGTGCAAGCGGCTCACAGAGAGCCCTCTCAATGGGCGGGGGCACTGTGGAGGCTGGCTGTGCTCCTGGAGCTCAGGGCACAGCCTCTAAAGGTGCGGGGAGCGGGGACGGGGGGTAGCCTCAGTCCCATGCTGTGGGTCCAGCAGAGCGGAGGGGTGGGACGGAGGTCACAGTCATCCTCTCAACCTAAGCAGGGAAGCCAAGCCACACAACGAAGCCCAAGCTAGGCAGGGAGGCCCCTCCTCTGGGCTGGGCACCTGTCCAGCCTGCCCCACAGACGCAGCCCTGGAGCGGTCCTGGGAAACCAACAAAGAGCACACACGGGCTCCAGCACGCACAACCCAGCATGCTACCTGAGTGCACACGCCACCATCCGCAGGCCAACCCAGCATGCTGCCCGCCTGCACACGCCACCGTCCGCAGGCCTCAGCTGCAGGCCCACGCAGCGCGGCACAACCCAGCATGCTGCCCGCCTGCACACGCCACCGTCCGCAGGCCTCAGCTGCAGGCCCACGCAGCGCGGCACAACCCAGCCGCCACACCCGCCATCGGCGGGACCCAGCTCCAGGCCTGCTCCCTAGACGGCTGGGCCCCCGGGGCTTCAGACAGGCTTTTCCTGGATCCTGATGGAAACATCTCAGCCTGATAGGACAGAAGCCCAAGAACCCAAAGCTAGGCAGTGCTGCCACCCACCGCGTCCCTGGCTGGCATCCACCATTTTAAGGCCCACTGCTACTGCTAGAGCCAGTGCTTGCCACCAACCACACGGTTCTGGTTAGCCCGGTCAGTCAGCTGCGTGACCCCACGGAGCTGAGCTGCACGTGTTCACACTCAACTGCAAGTCTACAACCCTGGGAGGAAGCCTGCAGACAAAGGAGGAGGGGAGTGTTCTCTGAGCTGCCACCTCTCCCCACAGAAACTGAGGCATGCTAAGCAGCAGCCCTGTTAACTACCAAGCCCCAACTTGGTATCTGGGCCCTGTAGTCTGAGCTAGTCTCTGCCGCAGCCAACTTTACCACCACCTTGGGCCCCAAGAAAGAGAAGGATCACTGGAAGCCTTGTGTGTGGCAGATGCCTCGAACAGGTAATGTCTTCTAACCGTCTAAAAGGAAACAGCCAAGAGGTGGCCGGGAAGATGGTGGAGTAGCAACAGTGAATTTCTCTAGCTCATAGAGCCCCAACAACTGGCCAGGACCCATTACACTAGCGGCACCGCCCTGAGCTGAGAGCTGCAAACACAGTCTGATGGAGATCCATCCTGTGAGTCACACCACACCACCACTGAACCTAATTCACAATGTGAACGCCCCCGACAATCCCTGAACCCAAATGGAAGATGAAAAAATTCATCAAGACAAGCCAAATTCAAAAGCCAACAGCAATGCAGGGAAGGACCCTAGTGAGAGAGGAGATGAGGGACAAAAAGACCAGTAAGGCAATGATGAAAGAATTAGCCAATGAAATAAAAGGGACTACCCAAAAACAGAAGTATACGAAGAGAAAACAACCGAGAACATACAGGCCGTCCAGAAAGACACGGAGGGAAAGAAGAAATGCTACACACCTCATCAAAAGAAGAAATTACGCCAGTGGCTCACGCCAGTAATCCTAGCTACTCAGGAGGCTGAGATCTGAGGATCCTGGTTCAAAGCCAGCCTGGGCAAGAAAGTCCGTGAGACTCTTATCTCCAATAAACCACTAGAAAACGGGAAGTGGCGCTGTGACTCAAGCGGTAGAGTGCTCGCCTTGAGCTGAAGAGCGCAGGGACAACACCCAGGACCAGAGTTCAAGCACCACGACCGACCAAAAAAAAAAGTGAAATAGAAAATAGTGTACCAAAAGCTGAGGATAGCCAGGCATGGTGGGTCGTGCCTGTCATCCTAGCTACTCAGGAGGCTGAGATCTGAGGATCACGGTTCAAAGCCAGCCCAGGCAGGAAAGGCCATGAGATTCTCATCGCCAATAAACCACTCAGAAAACCGGAAGTGGCGCTGTGGCTCAAGAAAGCTCAGAGACAGTGCACAGGCCCTGAGTTCAAGACCCAGGACTGGCAAAAAAAAAAGTAATAACAGAAAGCTTCCCCAACCTCGAGAGAACTCTCACTCACCTGACAGAGTCACACAGAAATCCTAGTAGACAGGATCCAAGAAGAAATACTTCTAGACACCTCATAGTAAAAACTCTGGACTTAAGAAATAACAAGTTAGCTGGGTGCTGGTAGCTCATGCCTGTAATCCTAGCTACCCAGGAGGCTGAGATCTGAGAATCACAGTTCAAAGCCAGCCAGGACAAGAAAGTCTGTGAAACTCTTATCTCCAATTAACCACCAGGAAACCGGAAGTGGCGCTATGGCTCAAGTTCAGGTCACACAACCATCCAAAAAAAAAAAAAGGAATTAATTCTAAACACAGCAAAATCAAAGAAGGAACTATATTATAATGGGAAGGTCAGAATGCAAGGAGAGTCTAGAATGGTGTAATTCAAGCCTTGAAGGTCCACAGCTGCCAGTCCAAACTAGTGTTCCCAGGGAAGCTGCCATTCACTATTGCCGGCCAAACCAAAGCCTTCCATGACAAAAACGAAAGGAATTCATGAGCACTAAACCAGCATTACAAAGAATACAAAAGGGAAGCACACATTCTAAAGAAAACAACTGAAGTTAAGAAAATACAACATTAAGCCGGGCAATGGTGGCTCACGCCTGTAATCCTAGCTACTCAGGAGGCTGAGATCTGAGGATCGAGGTTCAAAGCCAGCCCGGGCAGGAGAGACCGTGAGACTCCTATCTCCAATAAACCACCAGAAAACCGGAAGTGGCGCTGTAGCTCAAGTGGTAGAGCGCTTGCCTTGAGCTGAAGAGCTGAGGGACAGCGCCCAGGCCCAGAGTTCAAGCCCCACGACCGACAAAAAAAAAAAAAATACAACATTAGACAAAAATCACTAGAAGATTAGTTTAATAAACACAGGAAAAGGAAAGAAGCAAATTACAAGAAAGCAAGAGAATGGCAGCAATCCTGACACCCTACTCCATAGTAACCTTAAACATTGTATAGACTCAATTACCCGACCAAAAAAATGTAAAGCAGCAGATTGGATCAGAAAAAAAGATCCATCCATTTGTTGTCTCACAGTCAAAGATAAACACAGATTCTTGGTGAAAGGATGGGAAGAGATCTTTCATGTAAATACATTTTACAAGGCAGGAACAGTCACATTGTAACTGATGACTTTTCATTAAAATCAGTGGGAAGAAAGTACAATGCACAGCAGGGTAAGATTGTACACGGGAACATACAGAAAGATTTGGACAGACCAGGGACAATGACATGGAGCTACTCAGCCTCTGATGTGAGCTGCTACAGAAACAGAAAAGACCACCAAATGTACCTACAAAGGGCTTCTCTAAAATGTGCTGAAAGAAACCCCAGGCCCAGGACCCCACCTAACCGGTGTGGGCCCGAAGACAGCACCAAACGCCACTCCACACCTCAAAGACAGAAGCTTAGGTCAGAATGTTGTCTGTATGTGACGAAGTATGAAAGACACTAAGAGAATGCAATTAGCAAAATCCACAAGAGGAAAGGGCAACCAATAGGAAAGATAAGAAGTTACGATCAACTGGAGACATTGAGAAGCCTCCTCTGGAGAGAAAGCAGGTCAGCCAGGGAATTAATGCCTAATTACTTAGTTATGACTACTGTGCTATGGGTGATTGTATCTTTGTTGAGAGTCCTTAGGAATATATAATAAAGTATTAACGAGTGAAATGCCATGGAGTTTAGTATTTGTTTCAAAATAATTAAGTATGTGCGTGTGTTGCTGGTGGGTAATGGGCACATGGAGATTCTCAATACTATTTTTTCTTTTCAGTGAATCTTTAAATAAACTTCCCAATAAAAATGGCTTGTTTTTCCAGTTCTGGGATTGAATTCAGGGCCTGGGCACTGTCCCTGAGCTTCTTTTGCTCAAGGCTAGCACTCTACCATAAGAGCCTCAGCACCACTTCTGGCTTTTTCTGTTTATGTGGTACTGAGGAGTCGAACCCAGGGCTTCCCACATGCTAGGCAAGCATTCTACTGCTAAGCCACATTCCCAGCCCCAAAACAATAGGTTTTTAACTGCACGAGCTACCTGGAACTAGGCTGCAGTCTGTACCAAGATGCAGAGGCCCCTCATTTGTCCTAGCCAGGGACTTACCTCTCTTCAGGGAGACCACACTCTTCTGGTCCAGCTCCAGCTTCTGAACCAAGGCCCCGGGGTCTATCTGAGTCTTGGCAAAGATGTCCGTGTGGACGAATGACCAGTCCTAAGGCCGTAACAAAGGAAAGACATCAGGACAGCTGTGATCCCCAAGCAACACACAAGGCTACTGGCTCAGCAGGGAGAATTTGTCCAGCCTCAGGCCGCTTGGGTTCTCTGACAGGAAGGCCTTGGAGGAGCGGCCTGTCCCTGGCTGCCAACCTCGTGCCCCTGGCTGGGGAGCCAGCCGGCTAGGACTGCTGCGCTGCTCCATGGCTTCTAGGGCTCCAGGGCTCGCTCCCTGCCCACATTCATCTCTCCACCAAGGCTTACACCGTGGTGTCATTGCTGACACTCAGATGCGGGGGGGGGGGGGGGGCTCACCCACAGGCCTGCCAGGCCCTCCCAAGAGGCCGGGCCTCGGCCGCACAGACGCCCAAACCGGGCTTCTTGTCTGACCACCTCAAAGTACACCACTTGTGCTCAGCTCCTTTGGGAAGAGGCGGAGGTGCCGAGCGCAGGAAGGCTGCCCCTCGCCCCATCTCCGAGGACCAGACGTGCGGGCGGAGAGCCCTCTGCGGTCAGCCGAAGCCCCTGTCCCGTCGGCTCGCCCGCCTCGGCCGGAGGGGCTGGAGCTGGAACCCGGGGGCAGCGCAGGGCTTCGGGTGCGATCTGCGGCACGCACGGGGGGGTTTTGCCACGCGCCTGGGCCCCGCTCCGCTCCCGGAGGCCCGCAGAGGTCCTGGCGCGGGGA